CACTTGAAGCTGCTACAGGCATGTTGTGACGAATGTGCGCGGCGCTAAGGCGGGAACGCAAGCGTGAAAATCGCCCCAGCCTGTTATTCTGGCTGCCGCATCTGTGACGAGGAAAGTACCCGGCGCTACGGCTCGATCCCTGTTGATTGGAGGCCTAGAAATGGGCACCAACACGAACACAGGGGGTTGCCTCCACAGGGGGAAGATGATCCTCGAGTTCGGTGCTGGTGGTATTTTTTCGGCCACCTTGGAAGCCAGAGTATTACCACCATCACCGAGATCGGGATCGTCTGTCTTCCCGCGGTGGAGGCACACCGCCGATATTGGTGTTGGTGTCAACCTCTAGGCCTGCGACTATGGCTGAAAACGGTCCCATCCATCGGCGAAGCTGTTGCATTGTTTTGTAACGAGTGTGCCCCGCGCGAAGGCGAGAGCCCCCTGCCGAAAGCCACCGCCCCCTTTCCGTCCATGAAGCTGCTGCAAGTATTTGAGATGATTGTGTGCGGCGCTCAGGCGAGAGCTCCATCTGAGAAAAAGAGCCGCCTTCCATCCTTGAAGCGTTTCCACCAGCGAGTGTGCGCCGCGCTACAACCAGAGCCCCAAGTTGAAAACGAATGCCCTCCATCCTTCAAGCCGCTGCAACGTTTCAAGACGAATGTGCGAAGCGCAAAGGCGACAGCCCCATGTTGAAAACGAACCCTTATCCATCTTTGGGAATACTGCAACGTTTAGGACCCATGTGCGCGGCGCTAAGAAGAGATCCACTTTTTGGAAAACGACCTGCACCCCATTCTGCAACACATGAAAATGTCAAGCTTCAGAGTCATAAGGTGTCAGGAAGTTTGAGGATAAACGCCAGCCCGCCCTGTCGACACGCCTGGGGTTGGGACAGGGGCGAGTTACGTATACGGGATAAACGGACGGAGGGAGAGAGAAAGAGAGGGAGCGATAGAGAGAGAGAGAGGGAGAGAGCGCGGGAGATAGAAATATAGACAGAGGGGGGAGAGAGAGGGGGAGAGAGAACAAAGGATACAGAACAATGACAGCAGACAGACCGACAGAGAGAATGAGAGAAACAGAGAACGAGAGAAAGCGACATATGTACGTATACACATATGGATATAGACATGTACGTATGTATGGATGACTGTAGATATACATAGGTACATTCGTAACCATACATATATTCATACATGTATACACATAAGCACGAGCACGGCAGCAGCCGCAGCTGCAGCAACAATAACAGCAATCAAACAAACAAACAAACAGCAGCAGAGAGGAAGAAGGATAAGGACACACCTGTGAATACACACATATACCGATGCATAGGCATAGAACACAATGGATAGAGAAAGAGAGAGAGAGAGAAAGACAGAGAGAACGAGACAGATAACGAGAAACCACAAACAGTGTATGTGTGTATGTGTATCTATGTATACACACACTCGAACCCCGCGAGCTTCGCGCGCACTTAGCCCCCCCCCATTTCTCCCCCTGAAGCTCATCCGCTCCGTTGTCTTTCAAACCCCCTCGAAACATCACTTTCCTCCCCTTTACTCCCCACCCCCCCTCTCCTGACCTCCGTTCACCGTCCCCTTCCCCCCCTCCTCCTCCATATCTGGAAGGGTCAGAACTGGATCCTGCACCGCAGTCTTCTTCTTCCTCTGATTATTATTCGTACTATTATCATTCTATATACTATTATTATTCTTATCAGCATTATTATTACACATCTCCTGCTGACTGGCCGACACCCCCTACGGCGCATATAGGTATAAAAACACAAATGCCAACATCACCAACATCCCCCTCCAGTGTCACGCAACGCCTGCAAGGACAACAACGACCACCTGTGTGACTGGCAGCATGTGTCGGCACGATCAACCACGTGGGACGAGGTCGCAGTGGTCGCGAAAATACAGAACATCGAAAACGAACTCATTAAATTTCATCGCGATGTGCAGACCGATGTGAGTTGACACGCTGCAGACGCCTACACATAAGCACAACTGGCCGCTCCCAAGTTTAGTCGTGCGAGCCTTGCGTCGAAAAGGAGGGGGGAGGAGGAGGAGGAACATGAAAAAGGGTCGGATGAGGACGTGGAGCTGGTGTAGAGAGGTACCCCAGTGGGCCCTCTGAAGGGCCCCTTGGGGCCTCTGAAGAGCCTCTTGGGGCGGCTGAAGAGCCTTTGGGGGCCTCTGAAGAGCATCCTGGGGCATCTGAAAAGCCTCCTGGGGCCTGTGAAGAGCCTCTAGAAGCATCTGAGAAACCTCTCGGGGCCTCTGACGAGCCCCTGGGGGCCTCTGAAAAGCCTCGTGGGGCCTCTGCGGGCTCCCGGAAGAGTCTCCCGCATCCCCCGGAAGAACCTCTTGGGGCACCTGGAGGGCCCCTTGGGGGCTCTGAAAGGGCTCCTAGGGGCCTCTGAAGAGCCTCTTGGGGCCTCTGAGGAGCCTCTTGCCCCCCCTGAAGAGTGCCGCGGGGCCTCTGAGGAGCCTCCTGGGGCCTCTGAGGAGCCTCCTGGGGCCTCTGAGGAGCCTCCTGGGGCCTCTGAAGAGCCTCCTGGGGCCTCTGAAGAACCTCTTGCCCCCCCTGAAGAGTGCCTCGGGGCCTCTGAAGAGCGCCTCGGGGCCTCTGAGGAGCCTCTTGGGGCCTCTGAAGAGCCTCTTGGGGCCTCTGAAGAACCTCTTGCCCCCCCTGAAGAGTGCCTCGGGGCCCCTGAGGAGCCTCTTGGGGCTTTGAGGAGCCTCTTGGGGCCTCTGAAGGGCCTCTTGGGGCCTCTGAAGAACCCCTTTGGACCCATTAGGGAGATAGGGACTCCACGCACGAAGATGACGACGACTACGATTACGACTACGATTACGAGTGCGATGATGTTTATGATGCTGATGCTGAACATGATGTTGATGATGATGATGATGATGATGATGATGATGATGATGATGATGATGATGATGCCGATGACGAGGCTGCTGATGATGATGCCGATGGTGATGATGATGGTGATGATGCGAATGCTGATGATGACGATGCTGCCGATGGTGATGATATTGATGATGATGATGATGGTGGTGATGGTGGTGATGGTGATGCTGCTGGCGCTGGTGATGACGATGGTGGTGATGATGATGGTGCTGATGGTGATGCTGGTGGTGATGCTAATGCTGATAATGATTAGGATGACGGTGATAATGATCAGGATGATGACGATGATGATGAAGAAAATGAGGATGGCGACGATCATGATGATGGTGGTGGTGATGTTACTAATGTATATAATATGTTGCTGATGATGAAAATGGTGGCGGTGGTGACGATGGTGGTTGTGATGATGTTGCTGATGGTGATGTCGACGGTGATGATGACGATGCTGAGTCTGAGTATGAGTCCGATTCCGATGATGACGCCGACGATGCCAATGACGATGACTCCTGGATGATGACGAGGAAAAGGAGGAGAAACAGGAGGATGAGGAGGAGGGAGAGGGGGAGGAGGACTAAGCTGAGGGCGAGGACAATGACGACGACGACGAAAAGGCAGTAGGAGCCAGGATGATGATGATGATGAGGAGGAGGAGGGGAAGGAGCAGGAGGGGGCAGTAGGACATAGTGGTGGAGGAGGCGAGGAGGAAGCGGAGGAGGAGGAGGAGGCAGGAGGATCACGCAGCAGGAGAAGCCGACATAAAGGTAGGCAGCAAGAGGAGCTAGCAGGAAGGGAGGCCGCGGAGGAGCATAATTAGTGCGGAGGGACAGGAATATCAATAAACAACGAGGAGGAGAAGCGGGGAAAGGTAGGAGCGAGGAGCCAGAAGAAGGAACATGGGGGCCAGAGTGATAATGACAAGGAAGCGGGATGAACATAGATTCCGCATATGATGTTGACAAGTGCAATACGAGGGGAGGCTGATCATGATGGGGATGATGAGGATGAGTCTGATGTTGATCATGATGCTCAGGAGGACGACTGTTTCGAACCCGTTTTTATAACCACCGTTCCAGCGCTGAACGCACCCTCGGATATGCAGCTGGGCTCATCACGTTGCTTCAAAAACTGTTTTTGTTGAGGGCTACTTTGAAGATTGGCACAATTATCACCAGATTGATTCCAGCGCGCCTCCATATGGTCCTTTGTGCGGCCACTTTTTCTGGGCAAGAGCGCAAGCCGCGCCCTGCCTCGGGCAGGGCGCAGCCGGACGCGCCCTGCGCCGCGACACGGCCCGCAGAGAGAGGACCGGCAGGAAGGAGGGAGGAAGGAAGAGGGAGGAGAAAGGAGGAGGAGGAAGAGAGGAGGAGGAGGACGAGGAGGAGGAGGAACAGGACGAGGACGAGGAGGAGGATAACGAGGAGGAGGAGGTTGAGGAGGAAAAGGAGGAGGATGAGGAGGACGAGGAGGAGGAGGAAAAAGAGGAGAAGGAGGACGACGAGGAGGAGGAAGAGGAGGGGGAAGAAGACGAGGAGGAGGAGGAGAAGAAGGAGGGGGAGGAGGTCCTGGAGGCGGTGGTGGTGGCGGCGGTGGTGGTGGTATTAGTGGTAGTCGTGGTGCGCGAGGAAGAAGAGGACGCGGAGGAGGAGGAGGAAACGGAGGAGAAGGAGGAAGAGGAGGAGGAGGAAGAGGATGCTGCTGCTGATGATGCTGATGGATGGTGGTGGTGATGGTGATGATGGTGGTGATGGTGATGGTGATGGTGATGGTGATGATGATGATGATGATGCTGATGATGATGATGATGATGATGACCGCGCTCTCCGACAATGAGCCGTCGCCGTATCGCGATCGCTCGCCGCTTGCTGCATTGCCGGCGCGCCTAAAAACCGCGCATCCCCCCACGGCGCTGCACGCTGCGAGGACAGAAACAACAAACAACTCTTTCCGCATTTCGGGCCTTGATATGAACAGTGCCACAAGGGGCATGGAAAAGGGGGCGCGACGCGCGCCACGCGGCGGCCTAGGGCAACGCTGCACAGACGAGCCCACAGCGCGTTGCCAGGCCAAGCGCCCAC